TAAAAATCATAAGAAAAATCATTGTCTAATGCTTCCAGATAAGCGAATGGCGTGCTAACAACGTGGAACAAACAAGTTATTATAAGCGAAATAAGTACATAATTGCTTATTCTGCCATTATCGAATGTTTCTTAAGGATTACGATCCACTAAATTACCTTACGATCTTTTTAAGAAACATAAGTCATACGTAAAATTTCAAGTACATATGTATATATATATACACGTATTCGACCTTTTAAGTAAAAATTAAAATTATGATATTCGCTACTACAATTATCTCTCTTAAACATACTTTCGAAAGTAATGCTATTAATTATGTTGTGGAATTTTTATTTATTTATTTTTTTTTACAATTATGCTTTCTTTAATTAAGTTCTAAATTGTTGCTAATTCTAAATTTGCATACTTAGAGTAAGTTTAGAGCATGGTTGAGGTACAGACTATCATTCATATACTTAAATCCTTTATCCTGGGAACTCTAAAGATGCAAGTATTAGGTCTACATCATTTTGGTGATGAACAGTCCCTGCATGTTCTGAACAGATGAAAGGATCCCAGGCATCCTGTATTCGTGTCTATTGTTACACGTCAGAGAACCAATGCTTTTATATATATAAACGTGTTTTTTTGTCTTGCATAAGACTACATACTGATTACAACTTAGTGTTTACACAATATGATATATTTTACAGTATACTTTTGATAATTTTATAGTTAAATCTATCTAATTTAATGAATAAAATCGACTCATTTATTTTAGTTGTACTGTTGCCTGTTAATACCGAAAACTATACAATTTTCGTGTGAAGATAGAATATATAAACATAATTAGATACGAAGATTGTTTATGTTACTTGTATATTAAAACCATAGCAGCAAAAACTGCCACAATATATATATGGATAGGTAAATTGTGTAAAAATCTGTTACTGTTTTGCTTAGTTATTAACAAATTATGGCTGATTTTGTCGGTAACTAACAAGCCGCTACAATTTTTCTACACCTTTGTGAATAAAATAATTGCATGCATGTTAAAGTCCCACAGCGAACTCTTCCACAATTTTCTTAGTTACAACAAAACTCTTGTCGATTTTTGTTGATAACTAACAATCTACTACAATATTCCTGTATATTTACGAGTGGAAAAATTGTATTTGCATTAAATCTAAGGCAGTAAAATCTGTCTGTAGTGTTTAAGAAAAAAAAAAAAAGAAGTGTAGAAAATGCTGCTGTTAGTCACTAAAATTAAGTAACCCTGTCACAATACGTGGATGGCAAATTGAATTTACATTAAAACAGCGATAAAAATCCAAACAATTTCCAAAATTAGTTAGATTTTGTTACTAGCCAACAACCTTCCATAATTGTTTCCCCCCCCTAACTCGTTAGTGGGTTAAAGAGAATTGTTGCAGATTGTGGCATATATATTATTAATAATAGCTTAAGTTTTAAAACAAATATATTAACAATTTTGAGTAGGATTTAATAAATTATTAATTGAGATTCGTATGCAATCATAGAGTAGTGGCTTGCGTAACTGGTTGGTAATGATGGCAGAAAAATCAAAACAAAAGAAGTCACCCCGATCACTGTCTGTTGCAACCGCTACTACTCTTTCCCTTGCTACCGGACAATGACGTCACGTTGCCACAGATCTAGACGTAGACTCTTCCATTAGTCTGTAGTGGGGATGGAAACTAGCACGAGCACAATTTTCTATTTGCCGTTAGCGGTTTGTTCGCTTCCTTATTTTTTTTATTTATTTTTTTTTCTTCCTACGGCGAGTGCGTTTGCTTTATATGTTTACTCTACGAAATATATGTCGTTCGGTATCTAAATATTCATAGTTGCATTGTTCGCATTGTAAAATGCTACACCTTCCTCGCTTTATATATTCCTAAATTGTTGTATTGGATAAAATAATAATAAAAATTCATTTTTTGATTAATTATCCTTTTGATATTTTCTTTGATTTTATTAAATTTTCCTGAGATAATTTGTGTATAATTAAATAAGTGTTCTTTGGTTACTTCGATACACTTTTCCCTCCCCTTTTTTAAGAATTTTATTTCGAATATATATATATATATATATACGTATCTTTTATTGATTAATAATAATTGCATTTAACTAATATGGTGTCGTTTTATCGTAGAGGAAGAAGGAGAAAAAAATCCTATTAATTGATGTGTTTATTAATAAAAATTCTATGATTACTTATTAATATTTTCTTAAAATCATCTTTAAACATTTGTAAAAACTTGTAAGAAGAGTTTCTATTGGTAAAAGTAATCAATGTAACACAATGTTTCTTCTTCCACACTACCTTCGGGCCTATTCTTTCTTGTGGAAATATATTTATTAATCAAGTTTAATGGTTCTTAGCGCTTTTAATCATCATTAAATTATTTTTAAAGAAACTTGCCTTTTTATTATATTATAATTTTTTGATTAAGAAAAAAAAAGCGCTTAATTTTCTTCAATTTTTCATATCTTAATTAATATTATATTTTATTTTATTATTATTTTTATTATTATATAAATAATTATTTAGTATTATAATAAGTAATTTGCTATTTGGAATTTATTTTCCAATATAAATAGGAGGAAATTATATGAGAAATTTATCATATTTTCTTAAAGAGAGATAGTCTTTGGTCCATTATCATTTTAAGGATCACAGGATCATTAATGATGTTTAAGTACAGTTTAATGTGTTTTTAAGTAAATTATTCTTTATCCTTCCTCTATTTGTATCTGTAATATCTATTATTTTCTATAAGAAAGTATTTATTTTCTGTTATAAAATCCTACTTAATTACTGTTAATTGTTCCTTAAAGTTTATATACTATTTCTTCTTCTACCTTTAACAGAAAAATCATCGGTAATTATTTATTTTCCACGTATAAATCGTGTGCAAATCAAATAAATTAAGAGGAATTTTATATGTTATCCTTCCTCTATTTGTATCTGTAATATCTATTATTTTCTATAAGAAAGTATTTATTTTCTGTTATAAAATCCTACTTAATTACNTATTAAAATATACACAATATTCTAATTATTCGGTTGGAAATTTTCTAAAGAAGTTATTATTATATTTACATAAATGTTATACTGTGTATACTGTGCATTTGCAGCTTATTTTTTTTTTTTTCGCACGTGTGTGTAAAATATATTCGTGATTTCGTTGTGTATACGATGTGTGACGTGTATATACGATAAGTGTGCACGCTTAAGTAGTTCCATACGCATTTTACGATATTTGCACAGCTAAAGAATGCACATGTATAGTGAAGAGAACTTATAGACTGTGTTTATTATACATGTAAAAGTTAACAGTTAAAAAAAAAGAGAGAGAGAGAGATAACTAAAGACTAAATATTTACTTGTAAAATTAAATAAGTAAAATTTAAAATAAAAGGGGGGTGGGGGAAATGAGAATTATAAAATTTTTAAATTTAAATTTTATTGTAAACACAGCTTTTACTTTTATAACAAACTTTGTAAGCGTGTTATGTGTGTGTGTGTGTGTGTGTGGTGGAGAGAGATAGAAATGGAGAATGTCACTGTGTAAATCCAAGGCTGTAGTTGCTATATCCCAGAGGACACTTTAATAATTTCCTAGAAGCTTCCCCGAATTTGGGAGGGATATTTTGTACCTAGCAACTTCAATTTTATTACCCGAATTTAATGGTCTTAAAAGAAAAATAATTTTTGTCATATATTAAATACTTAAAAGGATAGGTTTTTTTTTTACCCGAGGAATATATCCAATTTTGGTAGATAATCTTTCATCAGTTAACGAAAGAGATTTGTGCTAGAGGGGCCACTTCAACCACCACCTGTACTGTGCCACGCAAGCCACTAACTGTGGGAGGTGCCAGTGTGTACTCGTTGCCATAGCGACCAGCAAACATCACGTGATAACAGTAGTCAGCAGCTTGCAACGAGTGAGGGGTACCTTCTATACAATTTTGTACTGTACCTCTAGAAAGAAGCATTTGAATCTTTTGCCAAAATGAAACCGTAGAAAAACCGATATTAAAATTTCACTCGAATCAATCTCTGTCACGTTTGGGATTAAAAAGAAATTAAAACCCAAAATATCATTGAAATATATATACATATACAGTATATTCTTAAATAAATAGATATAGATATAAATATATACATTAATATATGAGTAGAGGTGAGTAAAAATTATTTAAAACTTTGCCACGCTGCGATCTCTGATAGGAAAGGTTCCATTTGCAGGTGACAACAGCGCTTCTTCTTGTGGGGAAGGGGGGGGAATGTTTTCAGCCGTGCAATTCCTCCTAATGCATTTGTAGAGACGTAGTATTTTGATATTAAAAGGCAGATAACAAAAATTACACGGTGAAATTGGCTACTTGGATGCGTTATTAAATATCATATTTCTTGTATGATCAAAGAAAATCAAATTAACACATAAATTTGGGGAAATATTATTATTATTTTTTCCCCCGTATTATTACTATTATTAGATTGAAAAGTTGGAAAGTGCCACATTATAAGAAACTTTCACCAGAATAAATAAAAGTAGTAAAAGAGTTAAAACTATAATTTCCAACACCGAAAAATATGTTAGATAAATAATAAATTTTGATTTTTTCTAGATATATATATATATATTAATATACCCCTTGTATGGTTAATAAGCAAGTGTATGAGTCATTGGTTGAGTGACTACCTGACTCATTAAATTTCTACGAATGATATCATTTTCACTAATAATTTTATAAATAAATTAAAGAATTATATGAGTTGTTCTATTTATAATGCTATAAATTTAAATTTTATAGAGGTATCATTAACAGGGGGTGGTTTTGTTATTTTTTTATTGTTATAAATACTGTTTAAAATGTCGAAATAATTACTGAAGCGAAAGTGAGTAATGTAAAGTAATAAAAGTTTTAAAACAAACATCACAAAATCAATGAAATGACAAATATTTACAAAATGACTTCACTTACACTAGAGTATTAGTTATTTCCAAAAATTGTCATTTACTTGAATTTCTTCCCCTTTTTATTTTTTCTTTTCTTTCTTCCCCCTTTTATATTTTTTCTTTTCTTCTTTATTCTGAAATCATAAATATAATAATAAGTAAGTAAAAAGGGAAAAAAAATTGAGTTTTTACCTTCATTTACATTTATTATTTATAGAATGTAATGTAAATTTAAAATGATTAAAAAAAGAAAGTAAATTATTGAGGATTAACTTTTTTCCTACTGGAATTATTATAAATTCGATAGGTTGTTTGGCATGAATAACTTAAATTTGTTTAAATTTTTCTTCTTTTTTTACTATATTAAAAGAGATTATATAGAAAATAATAGATTCAATGGCGTGAGAACTGGACTCAATTTATGTTTTTTTTTTTTTTTTTCTTATGTTCAATGCTAGAAATTGAAGGTTGTCTATTAAGTAGTCTGGTATTATGTAGTTTAGACGTGGAAGATTTTCTATTACAGTAAGAAAATGTACAGCATCGAAGGATAAGAAGGAAAAATATTCAATAATACGAGGTCCATTTGGTGTAGGACAGAAGTAAAATGTTCAGTATCACGGAATATTAACGAGTTGTTCAATAGAGTGAGTGTATGTGTGTGTGGGGGAGGGTTTAAAAATCGAAAATAATGTTTATATGTTTGTAAAAAAAAAAAAAAAATAAAGTTGTTTATCGTGTAAATAAAATATATTTAGAAGCTAATTTTGAAAATTATTATTATAGTAAGGGAGTAAAAATATTTATTATTATTAGAATATAAGTGTTCAATATATCGTGAGGTGTAGAAGATATATCCGTTGGCTCTAACGTTTACGTTATTTACGTTATTTGGAAATTGGATATGTAATAAATAAAATATAGATTAAGAAATTATATGTGTAAGATGGAAAATATGTTTGTATGATAGAAAATATATCGGTGTTAAAGATATAGGTTTGTACGTAATTATGTTACGTTTGTAGTAAGGAATTCGGGGATGGTAAAGATGATTTTTATGTAAGAGAGAGAGAGAGATAACAAGGAACTAAGAATGAGAAAGTAATACTTGATGTAACAAATGTGTTCAAAATTAAATAGCCTAATTCAAAAAATATTACTAGTGAACACGTGTTTTCATGTGGTTTATTTAGTTTTGAGGAGGATCTGAACAATTAAACACGTATTCACAGTAATATAGAACACGTTTCTTAACTTTATACGTGTTCAACATTAATACTTTTTGAACTATTTGGTATTGAACACATACATTAAGAAATTATTTTTAAAAATAATGATATCAGTCTTCAAATTATTCAATTCTATCAGGTGATACAAGATTATGTGTTTCAATAATAAATTCGAAATATAGAAGAATAAAATTAGCAACAATGAATTTATTATAATATATTATTAGAGCCTGTATATAGAAATATATATATATATATATATTAAAGCCGGTAAAACTCTAGTATAGAAGGGTGCAAAAGTAGACGTATAGTTATTATACAGTATATAAAAAAACAGAAGACACTTATTTTTATGAATAAATTAAATCACGAATACGAAATAATAAAAGATAACGAACACGAAACAACATTAACAACTGTATAACTACTTCTACACCCAGTGGCACTTTATACCTTCTTGGGGCCTAGACGAATTTGAATTAAGTGAAGGCCCTAGGCAATTTTCCTTATAATAACACTCCACTGTATGCAACCCCCTATATTTTAAGCAATTCTACTTTGAGATCCAGATGCGGTTGAATTCAAAATTTTCCTATTTAACAGAAGAAAATACCTAAAAAATCGGATACGTTCAGTGACGTTGAAAAACACTAGAATGTCGAGCATTCGAAAAGACTAAAAAAAAAAAATGTCATTTTATTATTTATTAAACTTAAGTTATATTTATTTGATAAATATTAAACACTTTGCAGAATATTCTAAATTATTTTTAAAAAAAAATAATGTCAAATTTAGGAAAACAACAACAGGTCTTATGACACGTATTATTATGCCTGGAAGGAAAAATGTGATTTTAGTTCAAATGATTTTTCCCCCTCAACATCAGATGGCGCTTGTAGCAAAATTAAGGTTTTTTACTACTAAACAGGGGAAAAAAATAAAAAAATATTTTATTTTTCAGTAAACAATAATAAATTATTCATTAAATTTTCTTCGCGAGTAAAATAAATTTTCGCGAAAAATATAAACAGCGTAACGAACGTAACGACGTTATTAAAGTAACAAGGGAATTAAACACGGTTAACAATACTTAAACTACAGCATAACAATACAAAATAAGTGTTTAAAATCGTTAACTAATTAATTAATTTTATAATGAAACGAAGAAATATAATGTATAAAGTGTAGGATTTATATACATATATATATATATATATATAT